AATAGGTCCCTTATTATAAGGACCCCCCAAAATAAGGTACCCCTATTTTCGGAAACTCCCATGTCGGAAGCCCCCATGCATGCAACGTAATTGGCAGCCCTTTTCCCTTGCTCATTTAGCACCGCGTCTCTCCTCCACGCAGGAAGAAGAAATGCAGATGCACCCGTAAAGCTTAAAGAAGTGTGATGTATGCGCTATTCCTACGGCCATGTTAGTTTGCTCCGTGATTCGGGCCTCTTGTTTTGGAAGCTGAGCCGGGAGAAGTTGTTCTCGTTGAACAAACTCAGGACAAGTAAACGCTTGACAAGTTCTCGGCCTTGCAATCGGAACCAATCTTGTGTTCGCGGTTGGGGTAATTGTAGGCATGAGCATACCCCTTTCCCGCACCTATCATGACAGCATGTTGAGTTTGTGCAGAGGTGCAGCGCACTTTAGAAAGAGGGGGTGGGATGGCTTGTCTCCACGTCTGGCCAAAAAGCCTTCGGCGCGCCTGCAGTAGCCTTGACACGTTGGGATGGGCCAGAGGGTACCTGGTTCGAGTTCTTACTACCAGATACAACAGTTTGTCCGTGGTTTCCACTCTGGCAGGTGGCACCTGGTACCGGTTCGAGACGGAGGATCGGTTCAGGGAAAGGGGGTGTCTCCCTGCAGTCGAACCTTGTGTAAGCATTTTGTCGGGGTGGCCTGCTATGGGCACTAGCATTCAAGGTGCGCTTGAGAGGTCAATCGTTTGCAAGTTTTTCCTACCTGCTCTCTACTCTCTCTCTCGCGCTCTCTGGGTCTCTCTCTCTCTCTCTCTTTCCTTCTCTCTCTCTCTCTTTTCTCTCTCTCTCTCTGCACACTTGTAAACCTACACCTGCACGATCGCAGGTTTTGAAAGGGATATGCACGCGCTAGCATAGGTAGCTAGGGTAAGACAGACACATAGATGGATGGCATCATAATTTTCTCAGGTAAACGATATTGTCAAGACACGTTCATACCAATTACAGAAGAAAGCAACCCTAGCTGCATTAGACAAATAGGCCCGACCTGGCAGATTGCAGTGTTGTAGGAAAAATTAATTGGAATCTTGTTTAGAACCAGGTTACACTTGATATAGACTGGCCCGGCAGACAAGCAGACAAATAGATGAAGCGCGCAGAGAGACATGCAGTCATGCATAGTTGCAGACTGGCATCAGCACTCACAAACTTGTGCCCACTTCAGACAGGACCTGCCAGACAATCCTGGTATTTTCGATCCCGCGCCGGTGATGCCGACGGAAGGCATGATAGCAAAGCGGCGGCCTCAGAAGCCTTTGCACGGGGAACCTAGCCGTTGAGCTACCGCTAGCATCCGCTAGCTGCCTTGCAGTCGTAGAATTTCTCTTTGGATCGTGTGTGGTTCGGCCGGTTCGGCCACGATCCAATCTGCATACGCAAGCATGGATGTAGCCGGCGTTTACGTTCGTTCTTGCGTCTGCTGCTCAGATGGGCAGCATTGGCAGAAGGGTACCTACAGCCATACTTTCGTTGTCCCTTGTCGGTGACAGACAATCGCTCGCGTGCCATGGGGTCCGGCATCTTCGGAGCGGAGAGGTGTAACGTTGCATGTAGCACGCTTGACTACGTGGAGAGCACGTCTGAGCAATCTTCAAAGACCTCAAGGACGGTGTGCCATTGCATATGCGTGCCCTTCGAATGTGACTTGAGTGAGGTTGTGCTGGTGCTGGCCTAAGTGTGGCTTGCCAGTGCTGCAGCGAATGTGGCCCTGTCGATGCACGGGCAAAGGGCAATTGTTGTGTGTGGAGGTGCAGCAGGCTCTCCAATTGCGATCCCAATAAACCTGCGGAGTTCACGATCCTTGCTGGGCCATGGCCCAAGATGCAAGGTGTGAAAGGCTGCCAAAGAGCTTCAACTCTCATTTCTGTTGGCGAGGTTTGTTACCCTTGTCGGGAACTTAAGTAGTCACGGTGGCACTCCCCACTTTGCCCGGCCATCGGATCCTTCAGCCAAGGTGCGCCTGGAGGCTGACCTTGAAGTGGTCTCGCAGCTGCAAGGTAACAACAATATAACTGTGATTCGCAAACTTCCGTTGCTTCGCAGTGTAGTCTACTGTGGTGCTGGTCCGAGACCTGCTTCATGAAGGGCCCTTGCGACGTGGCAGTTGCCTCAGAAACGGTCACGAACAGGGCTGAGCTTGTTTCGAATGGGTCTACCACTGGTGTGAAAACGCTAGGTCGTGGACCTTCCCACCACGAAGCCACTGGCTGCTGGCGATCTAGTCGTGGTGAAGGCCTGTCTGCGTGGAGCAGATTATAACGTTGACTCTTCAGAAGGAAATGTCGCCAAACCAAGAGTCCGCAGATCAGCTTTGAGCGATGGATCTAGGGCGGTGGAGCGACCCCGAGGCAACAAGAGGAACACATGGTAAGTGCGGGAGCGTTCAGACATAGATTGAAGACTCTAGATAGAGACACTCTTTGTAAAGATGCAACAGGTGTTAAGCTTGCAGCGACGTAACGGATCGAATTGAGTGATAGCGTCGTGCGCACATAGTGATGCATTCGGACAACTTGAATATTATATATATGTCGCACCACCAAAGAGCACGATAGAATACCAACGGAGCTGTGACATGAGACAAGACATGAACATGAAGGAGCGCTGCCGCAGCCTATTGCTAGATCCCCAAGCGTAGTAAACAGCTCTCCTGCACCGAACCACTATCTGAAAAGCTCCACTGCACTACTACTCTGTGTATCCGAATGATCCCGGAGCAATTTGATTCCTCGTGTCCAGACTGGAACGAAGCCTGAGATGCGGCTGCGCGGGTGCACGGGAGAGATAGTCACAGGCCTGAGGCTCAGGCTTGCGGCTTGAGCCAGGGTTTAGGGTTTGAAGCCCAATAACCCTAAACCATTAAACCCTTGGATTTAAAGGTATTGTAGGGTTATAGGGTTTTGGGGTCTATAGTGGCCGGTAGATAGACATGTGGAGTATCCGTATCTTTTCAGCCGAGCATTACAAACACGTTTCTGAGTTCTTGAGGACGTGGCATAGTGCGATCACGCCTGTCCCCGAATGCAGAGTGCGGGGTGACTTGAGGCATCGGTCCGTTGTTGGATGGCTACTCTGGGAGACTGTGCCAAGCCCGGTATTTCCAGCATGGCAGACAGAAAAGAAGACAGGAATGCGACACAGGTCCATAGATTCATGTTTGTATGTGTGTGCACGGACATATATTGACATAGGCATGATTGACTTTGATTGAGCATGCCAATAGAGCTGAGGGAATCATATGTAGTACACAAGAAGACGAAGAAATAGTTTCGCTCAGTCTCACGGTTTTGCTTTAGGACGGCAGCCGGCGACACGGGTACCTTCAGTCTGGGTGGATGCCTCAGGAAGGTCAGGCCGGCTGTATGGGAGTTTCCAAAAATTAGGGTACCTTATTTTGGGGTCCTTATAATAAGGGTCCTACTATTTAGGGTACTATATCAGGGTCCCTTATGTTCGGAAACTCCCGTAAGGTCTCAAGGTTTCCAGCATTGGTACAACTGGTTGTGGCGGGCTTCGCGGCTCTCATGCGAAGAGACTGAAGCTTTCGGAAGCAGAAGATGGATACAGTATAACGCACCGGGAGGCAGTATCTGGAAGAAGGAATCCGCAGTCATAGTCGTGATCTTGGTCGTTGTGGTAATCAGCCATAGGTGGAGTACAGTAGTTTGGCAGCAAAGTACTGTATATAGTAATATTGTAATATACTTAGTATAATAGAGAAATACAGGCAGAAAGCGGTTGTTGTCATTATTATGAGCTACTACTACTACTACTACTACTACTACTTTGTTTCGTCTGGGCATTCGATGCAGCCGGTCGCGAACTTAAATTAGAAGGAAACCATATCCCTCCTGGACATGGGGATTTCTGGACATGTTGATTTTCCGGTTCTGTAGACAGGGTGTGTGGAGGCTCTGCATTGGTTGCTTTGCTTCTTTTTAGCTTTGTCTGGACTGGTGCTGTTTGTTTGGTGTTGACAGTGCAGCAGAGCCTCGACGTGCCCAAAACCTCGTCAGTAGTCAAGACCCTGCAGTGCTGTCGTTGACGTGCCAAGTGGGTGACAAAAAACTACTACTACTACTACTACTACTACTACTACTAAGCTACCTACTACCCACTGCCTACTACTAGTACTACTACCAGCACCACTGCTACGACCGCTTCTGCTACTGCTACTGCTTGAGCCGCTGCTGTTGCTGTTGTTGCCGCTCCTGCTCCTGCTCCCGGTGGAGCGGCTACTGCGGCTGCTACGACGACGACGGACCCTGAGGACCCCATATGCGTGTTTGACATGATCTCAAGGGACGGCCACCTGTTTCGACGCCAGCGTGAAGCGGCAAGCGTCGCAGACTCGGGGTACGCCACGGCTTCGCTTGCGCGGTCACTGTGCCACTGCTTTGACGACTGCACGGGAGATAGTCTGCTGCATGTTCAACTTGCCCCGTAGCTTTAGACATCTTATGGCTTTTGACGTAGACCACGGCACCGCGCATCTGGAAGTGCAGCTTTGGGCGGACGTCACCCTTTGACTTTGGATTCCGGAACATTCTTGAGATCTTTTCCACTGCGTCTTCTTGGTTCTCCGCGTGCGGCACGCAGTGCGCTTCGTTCGTAAGACCTTGGAGCTTCAGGACACGAATGTCGGAAATGACGTCTTTTGGTGTAAAGGAGCGGCCGGTCGGTTTTCGACATCTCCGGCACAACTATGCCAATGCAGAAAGTCGTCTTTGTAGGCCTGACTGAAGCCGTTTCCGTCGGGGATACTTCGGTATTGAGGCCACTCTATCCACAGAGTACGACCAATAAAACGTGCCTGAAGGCCATGTCTGCTTTTTCAAGTTGCGTGGTTTGTCAAGTTTACATTTTGCGGGCGGAAAGTGATAGAAGACACTTGAGCTTCTTCACGTTTTGTCAAGAATGCAGAAGAAGCTTTGAGTACGATTTTTCTGAGCTGAGGCCTCGTGACCTCGAACTGGTCTTGAACGCGCCTTACTGGCAAGTGTTCTTCTAGCTGGGCTTCCTTGGTAGGCGGCGGGATGAGGTGCACAACTTTATTGCCAGCGCGGCCTGGTAGGCTGCAACCAGTGTTGATGATTATCAGGTTTGTTGCTTCAGAGGAGGAGGCTCTGTGACGTGACTCGACTGAGGCAGTCGATGACCGTGACCAAATGTCAGCTTCTCACCGGCAGAAGCTGCTGAAAAGCACTCCGCAAGCCTGGGCAACATGGCAGCGACTCGAAAAGTGGCCTCGTCCTGCTATCTATGAACTGCTATAGCTGGTGTGTGCTGCTTGCTGGTCAGCTCCGAAACGAAAATCGTCTCGTATGGTTCACTCTGGAGGTCTGGTCTGCCGCGCAGTGCTCTGCGGCAGTGCCCGGCATCTTCGAGCACGGACCCCGTCGTGGGCCTTGCGCCTTACGCCTCGTGCTAGCAAGCGTTGCTCCAATCATGGGCTTCACAGGTCACGCGAGCTCTTGGCCAAAGACCGCTTCGGGGAAATCGTTCCGTACGTGTCAGGCTTCCGAGCTTGTAAGTTTGTTTTGGTGACGAATGACATTGCAGCAACATAAGTGTCAGACGATTTCTCCACAGTTGCAGGCGGCCTGAAGTGGCAAGATGGATCCATGCAGTCCGAGCGCTCCTGAGCCACCCAGCGCCGCCGAGCGCCGAGATGTGGTGGAGTTGTGCCGATTCCCAGTCTCGAGGATTTGCCGATGGCTCGACTGGCAGAACTTTTTAACGAGCCTTCGGCTGCAGCTACGCTTTTTCGACACTGCGTCGCAGCCGCTTTTCGCCAAGGTCAATTACTTCATCGTGTCACAGGTCAACCCGCAGGCTCAGAAACGCTGCTTGTAGATCCCACCGGAGTCCCATGCTGTAGCAGCCTTTTGCAGGCGATGCTGCTTACCGGAGGCGGCGTTTGCAACTCAGCCCACCGCGCGCTTTGCCCCCCCTTGGAGTGGTGCCACTGTGTTTAAAACGAGAGGTCGGCTCCCAAAAGGGGCCCATTTTCCGCGTGGCGCAGTTCTTGCGGCGAGAGGAGACTCGCCAGCAGACACGACCGCGATGTGTGATATTGTACTGATATTGTATTGTGTGAGGCTGTCCCTGTCCATGTCCGGTCTTTCTGTCATCGTGGCTGTGGATATCTCAACGTGTGTGTATATAGTATAATCCTTCCGGCTCTGAGCATGGCTACTAATGGCTACCATATTGCCAACTACACTGCCGAACTTGTTTCAAGACATCTCACTGGCCCACCGAGATCAAGCAGTATCTGCAGAGCATGCTGGAACTGTTCCGAGGTTGCGGCCTTTCGCTTGCCTTTGCTCAGCGGGTTCAGGCGGTTCAGGGTCTGGGGGTCCGCATTGGAGGTGCAAGCGGTCGCCACCCTTGGCTGAGACCTGTCGGCAACACTTTGATCGCGCTCGTGGTTCAGGACTTGCTGAAAGATGCAGGGCATGATCAGGTTATCCGTTGGGCGTGGGTTGGGTGCTGTTTCCTTCCCGCCACCTGCCAGGAGTACGAGGTACGGGCTAGGTGTGGCCGGTTGAGCTGATTCTGCCCACCCCCGTCACTTGCACAGGGTGATGTCACCATCTACAATGGCCTCTGCGCTTAGCATCGCTCGAAGCGCTGTCTTTCATCGCTGTCTGTGCTTCCGGTGCGGTGCTTCGGCTTTTCGGCTCGTTTCGAGTCTCGAGGCCGGGGTCTCTTGGAGTTTCCGAAGTTGCTGAAGAATCCCACGGACGAGGTCCTGCGCACCTACACCAAGGCTTCTGAATGGGAAGCTTGGCCCAGTCTTTTGTGGCGACTAGCCCGTCTGGCTGCTAACCCGACTTCATCAGCGGGCACATAAGGAGACTTGGTGGCACATACCCGAGATTCAGAACGCCTGTGCGATCGAGTTCGCGCGCTGCCTAAATGAGTCCTTGTAATGTCCTTGTACTCCAAGCCGAATCGCCATCACCACGTGTCGAGGTGATGGATGAGATCGTCAAGGAGTTTGGCGCCATCTGCCTTCTGACTGTCATGAAAAAGCATGACGGTTGCGGAGACAGGAGCTTCTGGCGGACCTCAGAGCATCCGAAGAGGAGATGAGCCCTCATCTCAGTCCTGCACTGTCCCTGCGTCTACGCCGTGACGGGGCCAGTGTTGACACTTGGATATGCTGAGTTTCTTTCGAACACAAAACCTGCACACTTTGTCAAGATGGGCGACGAAAACGAAAATTAAGATGCCAAGCGAGACCCTGAAAACAGCATCTGCATGAGATGCCGGTTTGTTTTCCGCAGGCAGAATGAGCAGCAGTGCTGAACCTTTAAATTCGGCCCGGTGTTGAAGTGTAGGCCTCAATCGCCATGACTTCAGGGTGCGGCAAGGCTTTTAAAAATGAATGTGAGCCAGCAGTCACTTGCCGCATGCGAGAGACGTTTGGATCTTCGCTAAAAAAAATCCCGGCAAATAAGAAATCCAGTTGCTGAATTTCGCATTTCCTGGCGGCTCGTCCAAAAACCCAGAGAAGCAAAACATCCAGGGGCTGAATTTCTTAGTTTCCTCTTGGGCGGTCCGGCCATGCCCTTACTTGCCTTCGGGCGAATTCCGAAACTCGACGATCTGCTGTAGAAATTCCAAACCCGACCAATCGAGCGGACATCAAGTCTTCACCCCCATTGCATGCCTTCGAGCGAATTCCGAAGCTCTCGCCGATTTGCTGCACAATCCTCCCAGTCCGAAACCCGAAGCTACCGTCAGGTGTTTAGGGTTCTAGTTCTAGTCTTGGGGGCAGCATTTTATGTGGGCTGAATTTCCTATTCGATGTATTCTTCTTGAACAGTGTTGGCGGTGTAGATCGCTGTTCAGAAGGGGGAGGTCGCAGACTGTTGCGCTGGACGCAGGATGTTTGGATCCCTTCGGGGTGGGGGGTTGCGAGGGATTCCCGTGCCTTGGACCTTGAAGGGGCCCAAGCCGGCCTCGAGCGGGGCTGTAACAGGTCCCTCGCACCGAAGCAAAGGACAACAGAGAGCAAGGGGACAAGGGAGGGCGGGCATGGGCTTGCATACTGAGTCTCAGCTCTTCAGCTTTGAAGAGGGAGGGGACAGCGGGACAGCCTGCACTTCTGACATTGACAGGCGGTTTGGTCAGAACTCCTTCGCTGTGCTCGCGAATGCTGCCCCAGACGGGGCTTAAGAGGCCTGGCCACATGCTTCAGCATGTGGAACAGGCGGAACATGACATGGACTAACCGCTGGCGTCAGTTCAGCGCCTCGTGTCTCGCATGTCTGCAGCACCTTCGCCTCGAGATGCTGTAGTTTTGACATGCTTTAGATCTGGCGGCCGGCTGCAGAGGCGCATCCTGAGACCCTGTCTTACGACGCCACGTCTCGCCACATCCTATCGTGGAATGTGTAGATGGAATGGTAAGACGCTGTGTCCATAGCTCATGTCAAGAACGGCCATAAGATGGCCGAGCCACCGGCACATTTGCAGTGCTTGATCACTGTGTTTTCTCAAGCTGCAACCGGAAGGACATACCGTTGTACTGAACGGCTTGGTGGCTTGTGGGGGCACTTTTCAGAGAGAAACCCGACTTTGTGCAAGGTGTTTGAAGTTGTTTCTTTGGCCCGGCTGGTATACATTGTTTCTTGATCCCAAGTTTTTGTTTGATCCCATACCGTGAGACCGTGGTTCTACTGTCATTTATGCTGCTGGTCGCTGCTAGGCTGGAGGAGCTGCTCATGTGTTAACCAGAGCGTCTGCAGGCAGTCCCCTTGAACGTGATCATCCTCGGTCTCCACCATGCAAGCCGAAGTCGAAGTCGGATACTCACTCGGGAGTCATGCCATGCTCCGTCATCCGACAACCTGTGTCCTCTCCAGCAGGAAGGCGGCCTGCCGAAGACACCAGACAAGATTCCGTCCTGCTGGAAAATGTTCTGCGATTTCACCATAGGTTGCGGCCTCAGGAACTTGGCGGGGTGCTGGAACATTTTCTGAAATTCCGCTGAGGCGGCGGCTTGCTATCTGTTGGAAGCCTGGTTCCTGCAGTGCTGGCTGCCTTGGCCTCGGCAGCTATTAGCTGATACATGCAGCTGTGCACCGTGTCTTCACTCCTCCTTTCTGCTGAATCCATGTCGCGTAAGTTTGAGACGAGCGACATTCTATATGCGGCCCGTGCAGGTGAACTTGGCCAAAAACCATTGGGATGACGAGTGTGATACTATGGTGTCCTTACGCTCCTGGCTGATGGCCGATGGGATCATCGTGGTTGGCCCGCAGTTGTGCATTTGCCCACCGGAAGACGGCAGCATGGACAGATCGCACACTTTGGCCTGAGATTCCGTAACCGCCTGCCAAGCAAAGGTGATGGTCATGAGTATACCTGGACTTTACTCTTTAGTCTGCTGCGGGCAGGCGCAGGCAGGCACGCAAAGTCATCATACCGGCTGCATGAACGAGCAAGCTACCCAAAGCCAGTCAGTCCGAATTGTGCAGGGCCTGAACAAGTGTCTGTGGCTGCCGGCCTTGGCGCTTATGGTCTGGGGTGCGGCTTCTTGGGCGTGCAAGAAATACAGTTGGTGCTCAGATAGGGTCGGGTCGATGTAGAGGCAGATACGAGGGTGGAACGCGAAATGTGCAAATGCATGAACCTGTGAAAATGCATGAGGGTATGCGTTTCTAGCAGCTCGGCTGGTTGGGATATGGGGATTATCCTTGTCGTTCAGCAGAGCTAGAAATCCCGGCTTGAGAATTGGAATTGCATGCTTTGCATTTACACTTTACACAGTGCTTGCATGATATCGACTATCCGTGGTAGTCGAGTGGGCGAGCAATTCATTGCCACCTAAACTTAACTTATGGCCGCATGCTGCATGCTTGCATGAGCCTTATATGTCATATAGTCGGCGTGGTGATTGCATTTGATTGCTTTGCCTGCGTGACCTGGGTTTGACTTCATCAGGACTGTAGCTGTAAACTTGCATTGATGTTTCTGGCATTTTTGACAGCCTACATGACAGCCCTCAGTTCCGAATTGTTTGACCGTCGTATCAAGCCTTATCTAGAGCATCCCGGCTTGTTCAGAAAACATGGTTCCGCGTTCTTCGCTGTAAACTGAAAACCTCGCCACCATACCACAGGATCTGCAGACCGTAAGCCCGAGAGCCTGTAAACTGGGTTTCTTGAAACGGTCTCACATCAACCGACTGGGCACCAATAACCTCGACCGGTTCGTCCGAGACTGAGCACCGAAATCCAAGTCCTAAGCAGCACAAGCCACACAGGCCCACCACAACGACGTCCAGCACAGATAGATGGAGCAACCGACACGAAAAACTAGAAGCGGAACGATGAGAGCGTAAACCCGTGACCAGGTGGCGGAAGGACTGTGCATACCACGCTCAGCACGTGCGCAGAAGCACCCCTGCAGCACATGCAACCATGCAACCTCACCTGGATATACGGGCCTGACCCCTGTACCGGTGACGGGAAACTTATTTCAAGACATGTGATTTCCTGGGTTTGCCGTTGAGACACACTGTGTGCATACGAACGGCTGCCTCCTCGACACCCCGAATGCGCGACCAATAGCCCCACAATGGCAGCATCAGCCAGGTACCCTATAAATCGCTTCGCCGGGCGAGGGCCGCTGTTCGATTTTCTGAGAACTGGCTGCTGAAAGACCTTCTAACCGGAGCATCATATACTTGAAGCGGCATGTTGTGAAAGTCTGGCTCACTAAACGCGCTGCCGCTGATTGGGAAGCTGAATCCCCGTTCGTGGGAGTTAATTGATCTCCAAGGTGACTTACTACCACCCTGATGTGCCGACAACATCAACGACTACGACAACAACAAGCACAACAACAACCACGACCACTGGAACAGGCATCACTCCTATCGTGCTCCTACCATGCGAAGAATTAAGGAGGCTTGGTTTGCACGGGCAAGATAAGTCTTGCAAGGGTAAAGCTCATCTTCGGAGCCCGAGAGTGTGGAACATCGACCAACCGAAGCCGAGGATAAAAGTAGGCGTCATTCTCTTGACCCAGTGCGTGATGCCCGTCGCACTTTGCAACTATGTGGCGCCTTGAATGAACACTTTGCCGCTATGTGCTCGGTTTCCATGGCACGGTGCTTTCTCTAAGCATCTCTTTGTCCAGGTTGGTGTCCTTGGTGGTGCCGGGCTGGTTTCTGGCTTGCTCACCATTCCAGCTGCCGTTGCCCTGTGCTCCGCTCTGGCTGAGCCTCTTGCGAAGCAACTTGAAAATTTCTTGTGTTTCTGCAGAAGGACCGGTAAGTTCTTGGGAACGGAACTCGACGACTTGTATCATTACAGAGATGCAGGTGGGATGCCGAGTGTCGGCAACCGCTCGTGACGTGGCTCTTCATTCACGGCTTGATCCTTTCGTTGGTGCCAGGCACAACATTTAAGGGTGTTGCTGATGGTAGTCTTGTGGCCTTTTCCATGGTTGTGCGAGGCTTCTTCATGCTATGCCTCGGCATGGATTCAGAGGTTGTGGCATATGCTCGCGCGGCCCTTGGTATTGGGGTAGTCATTCATCAATTCAAGCCAGGGGGCAGCCTGCGACGCATGGCTAAGGCCTCAGACAAAAAGCCCGCGCAGAACAATCAGAGTACCCGGTGGACGTTGCTAAAGAGGACTGCTCCGAATCACTGCGCTACATGGTGCATTGTGGCCGCGGCGCATTGAGGGAACGACCTGCAGGAGACCCTCGGGGCATGTGCTCACCACGCCCCTGGTATGATTTCAGAGTGTCATTATCTGCAGCTGCCAGACACGACGTCGAAGATGCATTGAGACACGATTCACCAGAGATGCCGTCCAAGGTGAACACGTGCCTGGTGCTGCCGACGCTTGTTCTTTTGATCGTGGGCGCCTACATGTTCGCCCACACTACTAACAGTAATTGCCCCTCAGCTTGCAATTGTATGGACAGGAGAAAGACAAGACTTGATTGCAATGTGCATCGAATTCGGGCACGGTGCAAAGAGCGCTTCGCGGCTACTCGAGGCAATCCAGATGTCCGGTGGTGGGCGCGACTGACACTCATTCTGACTGCCCTGGCACCAGTGTTGGGCAGCTGCTGCGTCGAGCACTTCGGCCGCAATGATTTTTACCTCCGCTCATCTTCAGATGCCTCCGGTTCTTGAGCCTGAGGTGCTGCGATACCAGAAGCAGCGGCATTCCTGGTGCTTGTTGGGATCCTCCCCCAGTGCGGGCTGATGACTTGACACTGTCTGAGGTGCAGCTGGAGAGTAGGTCCTAGTGGCACGAGCCTTTCACAGAGGCTTTACTTACGGGCAAGTGCCCGTGAAAAAAAACCCACCGAGGGGTCTACATGTTGGCAAGTCCCCTAGCTCTTGAAAACCCCTCATGGTGACCACACCTATGATCAAGCCAACTTATGGCAGAATCGATTTAATGTTCGTAGTGTGCAGCTCACTTGCGCTTTGGAGGCACGGCTTGCAGTGCACAGGCCTTTTGTGGAAAAGAGCCGGCCTTTGAGTGAACTGACCCGGACGAGACGGTTGCCTTCAAAGCGCAGCTGAAGCCTTAAATGAGCCTCCAGTGGCATGGACATTGTGCGAAGATGTCCAAGCTGACTCAAGCACCGAATGCACCGGCCACCTGCGTGGAGCCTTTTAAGGGCCCACAACGGAGTCGGCAGATAAAAGAGCTGCTGCTGTGCTGCTGAAGTTGTAGAGATCTGTCGCAGTAGTTGCATCTAGTTAGATCTGCGATGTGGCCAGGAGAGTTTTAGAGACAGAGAGATTGCACTCATTATGGGGCAGGGGGGGAGGGACAGAAAATGCATAGTCTGCGAGCTCGATGACGTCACTCGTGATTGCAGGCTGCCCTCCTTTCATCAGGAGGCACTGCGGAAGGAGTTTATGGGGCCTAACCAGAAGAAGCACCCTCAGCCTTCGATTGGGCTTCAGCTCAATATCCTGTAGAAGAGCAAGAGCAGCGGGTCCTTAGCGGTTTGCCCGAGGCACACGCTTCTGCCAAAGCCGACTGCCTCGGACCTCTCCGCAATGCGAGCGCTGTCTGTGCCCTGCTGTCACACCAGCTCCGTCCGCGTGCAGGAGATGCCGCGTCGTGGATCTGGAAGCAGACTGCCCGGCCCCCGATGAAGGTTACAGCGGTCCGCAGCATCAGCGCATCGAGCGAATGTCGGGTTTGACTAATCAACCCCCCAAGCAACGCCGAAGAAAAGCCGGTTATAGCTGGGATCCAGCACAGGCTCTTTTCAAATATACATAATCGGGGTGGTGCCATAATGAGTTAACGCGGGGTGCCGGGGGGTTTAGGAATGGAAGGAGTGTTCGTTGTAGTGATGGTGGTGGTGGTGGTCGTAGCAACAGCAGGAGCCGCTTGACAGGAAACAGCCGCGTGGAATAAAGGTCTTATCATTTCGACTCCGTTTGTTGCGGGTTCTGGGACAGGTTGAAGGAGTGCTGTATCCATTCAAAGCGATCGCACCGAACGAGCCGAATGATTAGTTTGCGACAACCCCATTCAAGCCCCATTCGCCAATCCATCACCCACCACCGCGCAATGTGGGTGTTGTCCTTGCTAAGCCTGCTAATGATCGCAGAAGTCTTCATCCTCATGTGGATGCTGCAAGTGATTGTAGTTGAAGCATCTGCAGGTCATCAAACCGCAGCATGGCGGATTTGCTGCTGACCTCTGGCTAGCAGAGATACTTCTACCATCCGTTCGTGAAACTACTCGTTGGGAGAGTTTCGAAGTAAATAGCCTCATTAGCTGTTGTACCATCCTGGAAATTAGTTGACGTGTGTTGCTTTTCTGTAGTCGCAAGTGTTCCGAAGTGCATGCAGATGTCGTGCACGTCACAGCAGCCCAGCTTCTAGCCGCAGACATAGGTTCACTAGTCTGGAGCTTTCCGGAGCTGGAGAGGGTCACATCCACGGCGCCGGCCCCGAAGCTCCCAAGCCGAGCCTGCCTGGCCTCGCGGCCTGCGGTAGCAGGCATACAAGAGGGATCAGGAATTCTGCTATGCCTGCAGCTGTAGCAGCAGGGAACGCCGACTGTTGGTCCGCCAAATTTCTTTGATCTGCTCTGGTTGCAACCACAGCCGGCTCAAGGTGCCGCATTCTGTGTCAGCTCACAGGCCCGCAGACGTGATCCATGGTCGACTATCCCTGTAGCCATGCCAGTGTATCGCACAAGACTCAGCTTGTCAGAGTGTAAGATTTGACAAGTATTCAAATTCATGTTATTGCATAAGCCTTTGAATCGCAGGGCGATTACTTGAGTACCTGATGCCCAAGTGATTGAGGCAACCGTCCACCCCAGCCAGTGGAAGGGAGTGAACAGCTACGGGACTTGGTCAGGTCGAAGGGTGTGTTGAGCCGTCATGGCCACGGGCAGCAGCTGGCATGGCACCGCAGGCGACGAGATAAGGTGTAGCCGAAGGACCAGCAAACTGAAGGTGACCGTGCTTAGCAGTGCTCATTGCTGTCATGTCAATGTTGTTCAGCACGATATCTTCCGGGACCCGATGCGAACGGCTACATAACCCTGACGTCATTCCGCGATCATGATGATGAGCGAATCAACACCCACTGTGGCGCGACAGACTGTGTTTAGAGCTCTACTCCGAAGCGGCGCCAGGCAGCACTGCCCGAAACATGTCGTGGCCTCAGCAAGCCCGACTCGCACCGTCCCCAACCCACTTCCGCGACGCGAATAGTGCCAACCATCGAGTGAGCAGTGCTACTAAGCCCACGACTATTCATTGCTGTCGTGGAAAAAGACTTGCCAGGCCAGCTCCCATTTCAGACTACCCGCACTTGGCTCGCGCGCAGCTGGACCGCCACCCAGCAAGCGCTCCACGCAACCGTAAACGGTGACACCAAGAACTGTTCTTCTTTGCACAGGAGAGGTTTGATTTGAAGAGTGCCGTCGCCGAGTGTCCGGGGCTCGGACCACCAGTCCAGGCATGTCCAGCGCAATGGAAGAAGCGAAGACCCTGACCAAGCTCACCCTTTCACCGAGACCGGAGCATTCTTTTGGCTGAGTGCAATCCTCAGATATTCGGACATTCCAAAGCATGAGCTACTGTACCCAGCTGTGCCCCGGACCCCTGCGACCCCTGCTATTTCCAAGTCACCATCGGCGCCTGGCTGGTGGCTTGGTTGAGCCTCCAAGAGCCGAGGACTGGAGGGGTGATTCGTTTTGGGTGATTTTATTGCGGCTTTGTTTTTGTGGCACTGCGTATAGTCTAGGCTTCTCCGAAAACTTGTGTTGTGGAAGCATTTCTTGATTGCTTTTTGCAATCGACCAAGAAGATTCTACCGCTGCCGACGTTGAGGGCTGTGGGCTGCCGATAAGAACCCTGGCTCAGCGAAGCTACGTAAATCAAAGTGCTCACTACTTTGGAATTGTCGCAAGAGTGCTCAATGCGCCAGGTCTTACGGAAAAGTCCAATGGCCGCAGTGCCAAAGCCCCGCCGCAGTTGGTGCCTCGATGTTCTGGGATAGATCTCTTGGGGAGCGCCGGCATTTGGAAGGCTGTCAGCCTTAAGGATTTTTAATGTCTTCGTGATCTTGCAAAGGATCCGGATGTAGTCAAGAACCACAAAAACGCCGCCAGCCACCTTCCACGGCTGGTTCACCTGTGTAGAAGCTGATGTTCGGGGCAGCGATTGCAGATGTTGCTTGGCGGGCCTTTGTCTGCTTTGCCTCCGGACTTCGAGGGTTGTTGCGCGTGGCTTCAGTGTTTCGCATCGGTGCATGCAGCAGCTTCAAATTGCCTTGGCTCAGTCAGTAGTGTACGATTAGACAAATAGACTTTGTGCATGGGCCTCGCCTCTGTGCTTAGAGGCTTTCGATGCTTGGATGCAGAAGACGCCTGTAGACAAAGCGGTTTCCCTCTTCGCCACACGGGATCATTGAGGCAGCCATGCTGGCGATCGAAGCCGGGATGACCATGGAGGAGATTAACAAATGCTCGCTGGCGGCTAGCAATGCGCAGCTCGGCTATCGAAAACCGGGACATGTATGCCTGCCAGTTGCTCTGCGGATTATAGCAGTTTCTTGTTGCTGAGTACTGAGCTGCAAACTTGTTGAAACTCAGGTGGGCAGATGAGTGCATGGCCAAGGCTGAGGGTCACTTACAAGATGCCACATGTTGAGTTTGTCCCGGTGGGCTTCGGCTGCATCTCACTGCAGAGCAGAGCGCGAGGAATGTGCTGTTTATTTGGGTCCTTATCGGGAGAGCCGGTCGTCCTTGGGCCCACCTTTTCGATCGACAATGGTAGATGCTTTATCATTTATCCTTCATGACATGTACCCACGGCAGGCCATCGCACCCTCGAAAGCCAACGTGCAAGCGGTGGCAATTCGAGGTTCAGGGCCGGCAGACAAGATTACAGCGCCAGGCCTCAATTATGCGAGAGACGGGGTATCTTGCGTATCTCTTCTTGCAGTGGTTGGGCTCCTACAGGTCTCGCCGGAAACTTCAAGTTGGACCCAGAACGCAGTCTTGGAAGCACGTGAGAGCAATGCCAGACCCAGGTCAAGACCTCTCCGAGCGATGCGACCCTTGTCCGCAAGAAATACACCTTGCCCTTCTGAGCCGGCCAGCAAGGTGCACGGAGACAGGGTAAGGGGAAGTTGAATGGTATGCCGTGGCACAAGGCTGCCAGTGGTGAAGACGCGGCCGGAGTTTGAGAAGGCGCATCATGCATCTGCCATTCTGAGCATCCTTCATTCTGTACCTGCCGTGCGCGGGAGGTCTGGAACACATACGGCAGTAGCGCCGGATCAGGGAGTTGCTCCATTCCGATCTATAACAAACATCGGAGGATTGAGCTGGCAGCTCTCTCAGCGTGTTGTCGAATCTGGGGTCATTGTTGTCGTGGGCTGATGCTGACACTTTCCTTTGACGATCTGCACTCTTGACTTATGTTCCTTATGTTGCAAACAAGGCCAGACTAGAAAAGACACTCGGAAGCACCTAGAAGCATGCAGCATTCTGGGGAGCCTTTTTTCGTCGAAAATGAGGATGGACAAAGACCACGCCGCGCTAGAAGAGGCCAGGAGTTTCGCTTTCCTGAGCCTCTAGAAACAAAAACGATGTCGGCAACGGCTACTTTGCGCAGGCGACAGAGTTCCAGGCCAAAAGAGAAGCAGCGATAGCCGCAGATGAAGCGGCCACAGAGAAGAAGCGTGCCACATCTTAGCTGACGAACCGAGTGTTGCAGGCCAGTCCTCGGCCCAGAAACGTTGTGCCTCAGGTGCTAAGCGGCAGAAGAGGAAGGATGCAAAAGCAAAGAGCCAGCAGCTGAAAAAAGAAGCAGACGGCATCAACAAGCGGGGAGCTGAGTCGCATTGGTCGCAGGCAGCGCAGGATCGATCGGATCATGTCCGATTTCTGAGGTTTGGAAGTGATGGCAGCTTCTTAGACACTTGGCTGAGCTTGACATTCTGTTGATGGAGTGTTGACGAAGCACACTTCAGGATATGATGGCAAAGATGGATCCCAAGGCCCTGTTCCTGTCGCAAGCATCCATTGCATGCTCGAACGTCCCTCAAACTTTCAGCCACGAGATGCGGGGCAATGCGGGGCAGGTGTTGGAGGACGAGGCCAGAAAAGCCAAAGAGGCTGCAGCGATCGCTGCAAAGGAGGCAGCAGCTGCGAAAGCGTCGCACGGCCGATTGGTGATTCAGAGTCTCTGCCAGTGGGTTCGCAGAATCTCAGGCGCCCCAGAGCCTGCTCGGGGCGCTGCTAGTTGCGCATGCGATTAAAGACTTGTCCCTTCCAGCTGTTCCCCTCAGACGCTGTTGTTTCCTTGCTGGGTTCCCTGCTGCACTGCCCTGTTACCTGTGTTCCATTCTAGTACTGTTGCAGTGAATCACAGTCACAGCCTACGCCCGAAACAATGTTCGCTTCGCAACAAGAATCGCCCCACTCCCTTCCGGGGTAGGGATCCAAAAAACAGGAAAATGGATCAACAGAAGCCTTTTTCTATATTTTTCTCTTAGTTACCACCGTAACTATTATTGCAATAATTACGAAACTTATTGCAATTATTGCGATTCTTGTTATTGCCATGATGACTTTTATTGCCAATATTACGATCATATTGTTATTATTAATTGTCAATGCCATGAACTTGGGAAGGTTGAGGGGGCGGGCTGCGCCCCTTCCTGCGAACCCTCGATCCGCAGGCGCTGAGTTTACGGAACATACGAACATATACGAAACCACCCCCTGCCCCCCCCCTCTGCTCTTTACTAATACTGCGACTAAGACTACTGCTACTGCTTCGGCCACCACCACAACAACAACAGCAACAAGTGCTGCTACTACTACTACTACTACTACTACTACTACTACGTCTACTACTACTACGTCTACTACTACTACGTCTACTACTACTACGTCTACTACTACTACGTCTACTACTACTACGTCTACTACTACTAC